AATTGAACAGTGAGAGGCAAGGGGACTCACATTAAAAAAGCACCCCGATCTGTGAGAGGCAAGGGGACTCACATTAAAAAAGCACCGAAGGGAATATAAAACTGCTACATCCTCGTCGTTGTTCCTGTGTAACGCTAAAAATAGCTTCTCGGAAAAATTCAACGCTATCTATCACGAATGAAAAAAATTGTTTCAATAAAAATTTCAGGTACAATCTAATTCTGCAATGAAAAATGTGGGTCCCCATTTGAGATTTGAACGTTATCACCCATCCTACCCCGAGAGGATGGGGGAGGGGAATAACTTTTATTATGTTCTTTAAAAATATTGAACAGGTATTTTTTATTTCTCAATCCAATGATCATTTCTGGAGAATTGCGGAAAATATAATTTTTTGCGATTACAGCGCCATCTATCACGAATCAAAAAAAAAAGTTTCGGACAAAATTTACGTATTTTGTGGCGTAGAATCCGTATCTGCAATAAAAAATGGAGGTTTCCATTTAAGATTTCAAAGTTGCCCCCAACCCCCACCCCCAGGGGGTGGGATGGGAGGTCGAGTTTGGTATCATTGGATGTCCCCCTTCGAGACTAACAACTTTCATTAACCACTTTTTTTTATCCAATGCATAGTTCTCGAGATATTTCAATGTCTTCAGATAAATCGTGCACCCTGTATACATTGGTTAATTATATCGTATAATTATATTATATAACGAGTGGATGACTATGATGATTGGTGATGTGAGATGCAGATGCATACCATACATCCCAAGATTTAAAGTCATTGATATTCTTTTTAATATTTTTTAGTTTGGTACTTCTTTTCATATGTACTCGGCGTTTTTTTTTTTTTTTTTAAAGACTTTTTGTTATGATTTCACTGCTTTTTGTGTAAATTATTGGGTGTACAAATTAGTTCGGTCCGTTTTCAAATGATGGCTCCGGCTGTTATGAATGGTTCATAGTGACTGCCGATTTTGGCGGTTTCAGAGAGGTTAGACATCTGCTAATAATATTCAGTTTATATCGCTTTGAGTTTCATACAAAAACCATGCTTTTTACCGTGTTTAAAATGTCGAATTTTGTGTTAACCAAGCTGCGTTTGCGGGAGGTTTTAATTTTCTGCTTTAATTGGAAGAAAAGTGCAGCTGAAGCCCATCGAATGCTTGTTGAAGTTTATGGTGACGCTGCTCCAACTGATAAATCATGTAGGGAATGATTTCGACGTTTCAAGGATGGAGATTTCAACGTCGAAGACAAGCCTCGCTCTGGACAGCCAAAAAAATTCGAGGACAAAGAATTAGAGGCATTATTCGAAGAAGATCAGAGTCAAACGCAAGAGGAGCTTGCAGAATTATTGGGAATGATTCAACAAGCCGTTTCCGTACGATTGAGAGACATGGGAATTATTCAAAAACAAGGAAATTGGGTGCCTTATGAACTGAAACCGAGAGACGTTGAAAGGCGTTCTTCATGACAACGCTCGGCCTCATGTCGCAAAAGTCGTAAAAAAATATTTGGAAACGCTCAAATGGGATGTTTTACCACACCCGCCGTATTCTCCGGACATTGCTCCTTCTGATTACTGGTTGTTCCGAAGGATGCAGCACGATTTGGCAGGTCACCGGTTCACTTCTTTCGCAGATATCGAAAATTGGCTCCAAACTTGGATCGCCTCAAAAGACGAGTCATTTTCTCGAGATGGAATTCGAAAATTGCCTGAGAAATAGGAGAAAATAGTAGCCAGCGATGAAAAATACTCTAATTGATCTGTTCATTCATTTTGTTTTGAAATAAATACATCTTTTAACACAAAAAACGGACCGAACTAATTTGTACTCCCAATATTTATGTACAAATCTTATTATATTACTCTTTTTCAGCAAAGAAAATGTATGCATTTTTGGAATTTCGAGTTTCCAACTATATTTTTTTATTTTGGAATTATTAATTAAAATCCATTCTGTGCACTTGAAACGTATAACGTTTGTATAGTGTCCATCAGTTATGCTTTCACCATTGTGGAAAATTGCACTAATGATTTTATACATATCCGTGCCTAAATTATATTTATCTATATAATCTATTTATCTATATAATTATATTATCTAAAATGAAAATAATCGGTTCCGCGAAAGAAAACTTGACTGAAAGAAATGCGATTTGATTCTAGATTAATCAGTCCTTGAAGGAACTTTCTTCCGCATATAATGAGCAATAAAGAATAGAATGACGCTTACATAAGTAATGCGTAAGCGTCTAAAGCGAACGCAGAAATGATAAAATGTGTATTTTATTTCAACCTGTATGTTACAAACACAACTGATAACAAACCCAAAATACTTATGTCCGTGCATATACGTATAATTTGAAGTTGATATCGCGTAGCAATGCAAACCCGGTTTGATGGACAAACTCGCTTTGCTTCTGTGCGTACATAAGCGTGAGATCTGAAATCTGAAATTCTTAGCGAGAAAAAAAGGACCTTTTTGCAGGTGAGATTTTGAGATCTCCGTATTTCCTACACCAATCTTGATCGGACTTGTTGCAAATTACGTGCGAGATAGACATTATATAAGAAAAATGTCATCAGATTTTTTATTATAATTTCCATGCTTGAGATATTTGACTCGGAAGACCAATCGATCCTGAAATTCCGGAAAAGCTACCACGGTCGCTTCTGTCTCATATGTATTCTGTCTCGGCGTCGCGCCGCGATTGCAGCGCTTGGTAGGATATCTTTGATTTTACGTAATACATAATATATGAACAAATGTTTTATTCAATTGCTTCATGTTGCAATATTTAATATTCATATATCAGTGATATGCTTATATCTTTTAGACATTTGTTTTTAAAGTTATTCTTACTCCTATCATTATAATTTTGCATATGTTAACAATCCTTTGAGCAAAATTTAATGAGCATTGAGAACTATACGTTTACCAATACATAATAATATAATGGATACCAAAATTACATTATTGGCGAATGTAGAAATCGAATGTAGGAATCGTATTATATACGCCATGCTACGTTGTCAGATTGCTGCTTATCCTAGGTTTTGCTAGAGATGTGCAAATCAAGAATTTTTACGTCGAATCGAATCGAATCGAATTTCGTTTTTTAAATTCGAATTCGAATCGAATCGAATCTATGAAATTTCATTCGAATTCAAATCGAATCGAATGAAATGAATCGAATCATTAAAAAATTTAACATGATCATTAAACATGCAAATAATGGTGGAAGATTTTAATATGAAAGGGAATATTGATACTGTAATATTATCTTAAAGTAAAATATATATTAAAATATTTAAAGTAATTTATAATTAAGTTATTAATTATAAGTTAATTACAAGTTAAGGATTCAAACATACAGGCCAAGATGGATTGTTTTATAAATGATGCGCGCAAACGTTAATATATTTGATTCGTATTCAAATCGATTCGAAATTTTTGAATTATTCGGATTCGAATCATAGGGATTCAAATTCGAATAGTTCGTACATCTCTAGGTTTCTTTAATCCTAAATTTTGCTTATCCTAGGTTTTATTAACATTTCGCAAAAGAATATGAATTTTGGATATTATTATGAATTGTTTATTTGCTGTAGGAAAATGGTACTGGTTGCAAATATACAATCGATGTACATATTATGTTAATGCCAACATACTCATTTATTGCAACTACATCTACCTATTATAATCATAATTCTTCAGTACGTTATTTCTAAATAAGATAAACGTATAAACTTGAATGGTGTCTTCGTATTCTCAAAGTATTACTAAATCCACAACTTTAAACTTAACTAAAGTAGCTTGTGGAGTAGCGCGGTAATTATCCTCTTCAAAAAAGTGCGTGTCAATCGAAAGTCGAAATCTCTCGAATCTCTCGAAATGTTGAAGCCTCTTTTCCGCGATGCTGATTGGTTGTCTCGACGACGTCGCGTTGCGGCCAGCTTCGTGCCGCTTGCGGCTGTCATCGCAATGAATGACCGCCGAGTGACAGTTTGTACGAAAGTAATAATAACGCGGTTATATCAGGTTAACAATTTTATAAATTGTTTATAAACTGTGAAGTGTATTTGTCGTGATAATTCTGAAGAGAAAAGCTTCGGAGGAAACAAGGATAATATCAGATAAGTAACAATATCGTTGAATACACATAAAAAATATGTAAAGAAGAATTTATATGCTTTGTGTCGTTTTTACTTTTTACAGTTAAAACATAACAGAGAAAAGAAGAAGAGAAGAGGGAAAGAAAGAGAAAAAGAACAGAATGCGAGAAGAATAAAATAGGATCAGGCACAAGAAAAAATGTCAATGAGTGACTACAGCATAGTGCTTCATAGTGCTTTATTTTTAAAATTATTTTTAATTAATTTTTTAATCAGTTTCATTATTTTTGTGTGAAAGAGAGATTGTGTGAGAAAGAGTGTGTAAGAAAGAGAAAGTGTGTGTGTGTGTGTGAGAGAGAGAGGGGAAGAGGGGGAGGGAAGAGGAGAGAGAGAGGGGGGTGTGAGGGAGAGAGTGAGAGAGAGTGTGTGAGAGAGAAAGAGATAGTGTGCGAGAGAGAGTGTGAAAGGGGAAGGGAGGGAAGGAATGGGAGGGTGAGAGATAGAGGGAGAGAGGGGGGAAGAAAAAGAGAGAGAGAAAGTGTGGATGAGAGAGAGTGTAGGAGAGATGTGTATGTGAGAGAGAGGAGAGTGTGAGGGAGAGAGTGAGAGAAAGGGAGTGTGAGAGAGTGTGAGGAAGTGTGGGAGAGAGAGAAAGACAGAAAGAGAGAGGGGGGAGGGGGAGAGAGAGGGGGGAGGGAAGGAGGGAGAAAGAGAGAGGGGCAGGGAGGGAGAGGGAGAAGGAGTGTGTGAGAGAGAGAGGGAGAGTGAGGGAGAAAGGGTGAGAGAGAGAGAGAGAGAGAGAGAGAGAGAGAGAGAGAGAGAGAGAGAGAGAGAGAGAGAGAGAGAGAGAGAGAGAGAGAGAGGAGAGGGAGAGAGGGAGAGAGGGAGAGACTGAGGAAGACAGAGTGGGAAGGAGAGAGAGTGAAAGGGGGAGAGGTAGAACTTAAGATGAACTTGAATAGAAATGTCGAACGTCGAAATTTTCATTGGTTATACGGTTACGCGTTACTATCTAGAAAATATGTGTTATGGAATATCAAACTGTATGCGACTAATACATCATATGTTGGAGTCGGATATTATCGAACTTTTATTATACTCCAGGGATTATTTTTGATTTATAATATTTATTCTGAACTTTAATATGAATAAGCTAAAATGGTGCGCGTGTAGCGTGCGCTTGTAGTGTTCTAATAATGGTAAAAAGTAAATAAAATGTACTTTATGTTGATACAAAACGAACATCAACAACACTGCATGATCGCATATAAACGCATATTTTTTACCAGCATATATCATTACTCTTTTTGTGCATAAAAAACTAATATTTCATGTAAATCTGATATAATCCTTTCATTTCGTCCGCGCGTACATTTATAGACAAATCTTCTTCTTGTATATTCCTGTGAAAAGTCGTTTTTGAATTGTTTCATTCGCTCGTGGGGCATGTTTTCCAAATATTGTGTCACGAAAGATAGTATCATAGCTGTGTTGAAATAATTAATAATTATTATGAAGATATAGTTTAAGCAGGATCTATATAAAATATTGGTACTACAAACGATAATAAATTACTAGAGATGACATCTGTAACACGCCAACACATTTTTAAAGATACATACGTGAGAATTGGTGAATATCTTCAGCGAGTAATGTCCTTTCACGATGGCTGCAGTGAAGTACATTAAAGCCAATACTTTTGAGCAATGTTTTTAATTCTTTCTGTGGTTGAAGAGAGTTGTAAAACGACGGAATGAAATGATTTATATGCTATGCAAATATATAGGAAATGTTGAACAACTTATTATGATAAATATTTGCGGAGGAATATAAGCAATAAAAAAGAATATAGGTAAAATTTACCTTTATATATGACTTGTAGCGTACATCTTGCGACAATTTGTGTAGAATATCAAATACGTCGTGGGACGCGACTGTTAGTGCTAATACAGTTCCGCCAGTTCGAAGTAACTGATAGATATTCTCAATTGCTTGTCTATTAGATAAAAGAAGTATATTTAATCTTTGGAGCATAGGTTTATTGGAATATATTGGTACATGTTTTATCAGCAAATTATAAAAATAATTATAAATGATAAAAATTATCAAAATGATGACGGATAGATGTGGATAATTAAATTATATAATACTTTCTCGAATCAGTTTATCCATTTCAATTTATATCCGTATTTCGTTAAATATCTATCTTACCGAATATCTTGGCACCAATGCAAAACATGAAATGTGAATGCGTGATTGTACTGAGAAATATATTTTTTTGGCAGCTCTTTTGTTTCAATATCAAGTATGTCGAAATTGAGTCGTATCTCGTCACCGTATACTTTCTTGGCGTGTGTAATCATACTCTCCGAGATATCCGTACCTTCAAACAAATCGTATTTGAAAGATAAATCTCGTTAACATACATATATGATATTTTAGCAATATATTATTTTTATACCAGTTATTACCGCTTTTGCGTCGAGTGCGGGTAGGAGAATATCTTTTGTAATGTCACCGGGACCACAACCAATATCCATACACTTTCCCGACATACATTTTATTTCTTCTTCAAACTCGTCAATTAAGCGCCGTACGAAAGTACGTGATATGTTCATATTCCGGCTATATTCCGACGGATTTACCATGTTGGATTGAAAATACTAATTCGTATGTTATTTCGAAATATTATCTCTTTTCTCTACTTCTCCTTTATTCTTCACTTCTCAGTAATTTCGGATAATGTTTCGGGAAACAAACAGATGCCCCTGAAACATAAATCCTTGTTAAATTTATACAGCACGTCTCTAACATATTTATGGTCTGATAGAATAACCTGTACTCGCAATGAATATTACCGATATAGTGTGCAGGATATTGTCTTCAACAATCATTCAATGCATTTTCTCACTCGAGGCATAATATTAATAGGAAGAATGATGATTTAGATGAAATCTTGTAACAATTTAAACATTGTATTACATACAATTATTAAATATAAAGTTGTTAAACATTATCCATAAAAATTCACCTTTACGGAAGTATTACTTTACACTCTTTACAGAAACAATATGTAAATTTACTGTATGCAAGAAAATTATGGGTCATTTATCTACCAGGTATGTAAATATAAAACCGGAATTTTTGTATAGAAAATACATGTTTATTGTACGATAATGATAAAAAATATTTTATTCGAAGTATTGCCCATCGCTAGCTATACATTTTTCCCACCTGTCTGACAATTTATGGATGCCATGCCGAAGAAACCGTTGCTCTTCTGAGGCAAACCAGTCATCGAGCCATTTTCGTACATTTTCGAAAGTGAAGCGCTGCTCAGCAAGAGCGTGACCCATCGATGCAAATAAGTAGTAATCGGACGGAGCCAAGTCTGGTGAGTAAGCCGCTTGCGAAAATATTTCCCAACTAAACCCTCAATCGTTTCCTTGACCAGTTTTGCCGTGTGTGATGGTGCATTATCATGAAGCAAAATCACTTTGTGTTGCCTTTTCTGATATTCTGGTCGTTTTTCACGCAAAGCTTGATTCAAATCGATCATTTGTTGTCGGTAGCGTTCAACATTAACGGTTTCGCCATGTTTTAGCAGTTCATAATAGATCACACCCTTCTGATCCCACCAAACACAGAGCATTGTTTTCCGTCCATAGCGATTTGGCCTTGCAGTCGATGTCGATGGTTCGCCTGCAGTCACCCATGATTTTTTACGCTTAGGATTCTCAAAATATATCCACTTTTCATCGTCAGTCACAATTCGATGGAGAAATGACTTTCTTTTGTACCTGGCGAGCAGCATTTCGCAAGTGGTTTTTCGGTTTTCCTGCTGTCTTTCATTCAGTTCATGTGGAACCCATTTTCCCATCTTCTGGATGGGTTCTTTCCCATGGCTTTCAAACGTATGGAAACGGCTTCTCGTGTCTTATTTAATTGATCCGCGAGTTGTTGTTGCGTTTGAGCGTCATCCTCATCCAACAATGCTTGCAATTCGCTGTCTTCAAATTTTTTCGGTGGTCTTCCACGTTCTTCGTTTCTCACGTCAAAATCGCCACGTTTGAATTTTTTAAACCACTCAAAGCACTGTGATTTATCAAGAGCATGTTCACCGTAAGCTTCGACAAGCATTCGATGCGATTCTGCAGCAGTTTTCTTCAAATGGTAACAGAAAATCAATGCTGTCCGCAAATCGTAGCTTCCAGGCACAAAATTCGACATGTTCAACGCTATTACAAACTATGCTGTTGTATGAAACTTGTATTGTTGTGAGTTGAAAATCTTTGTCAGATGTCAACAAATGGAAATGGCGCGAATGACGCGGTTTGACGGTAACTACATTGACAACTAGGGCCATCTATGGGCAAATTCCGGTTTCATATTTACAGACCTGGTAATTGATTGTGATAATATGCAGATACGTTGCAAAGTGAAGAATAAATGATATGATTATATCTATATTTTTCCAAAAAATATTGTTTCTAGACCTAAGGTTTTATTTTTGGCAGAGAGGTCTGACGAACGAAGTTGTACCTCATTAATTGATTTAAACACGTACGTATTACAGTACAGTGCCCGCCAAAAGTTCCGGGCCACCTAAATAACTTCTGAATGGTTTAACCCTTTATATCCTGAATTTATTAACCATCAATTGTTTAATTGTATTTTTGCATCATTAGACAAGTTTTGATGCAGAATAACCTTAGGAAAGAGGAAAATACTTTTTACAGTGTTTTAGTGATTAATTATGCAGCTGGTACTTAGAAGTACCGACAGGAATATGTGCAATATGAAGGGAAATGAAAGTTCAAGCAAACACATTTTTATTTACATTACTCGAGATGATATTCCTGAAAACAATTATAGCACCAATAAACTGATAATAAACCACTAATTTCACTAATGTAATCAACACGGGCATCAACCCTACTGCAAAATGGCTTCCATATGTTGCATGGAAAAGAAAAAATATGCACAGCACAAAGAAAAACAATTTTGGCTTTAACTGCCTGCTGTCGGAACTACAATCTTCGTGTCCTTGTGAGTACTGTCAGGAAAACTGGTTATATGAAGATATAAGCGTTTGATTAAAGCGGTACTTTCGAGTACCGTCAGGATATAAAGGGTTAAGATATTGGATTGAAAGAACCCTGCAGAAAGTATATATAGAAACCCCGGTCTCGGTCAATTTGGCTGAAACTTTGCCAAATGTTAGTTCTTGATACGTAGATAAAAAATGTCCATGGGTACCCATGCTTTTACTGACGTTTACGCATTGTTTGATATTCGTAATACATTGCATTTTGTAATTTTCAAAGGTAATACTATTAATTATACTTACATTATTTAAACCAATCTTTTTAATTTGTAGTTCCCTTGTAGTGCTCTCTTGTAGTGCTCTATAGCTCAACTGACGTCCATATCTTCGTTAGTCACGTTTTATATTTCCTTATCAAATTAGTCAAACTAGTTTATTCAAGCATGCAAATCAAGCAAGTTCTTTATCAAGCAGAATGAAATGCATTCTGGTATTCGATTTTTCTGCATGCTTAATCACGCATATTTATTGTATATATTGTGTCAATATGTCTCATACTATCATAGAAATTTGATTAAATTATGATCCAACAAAATACTATATAATAGTATTAAAATAAATAGTATATGTGGATTTAAAAAAAACGCAAATGTTTTATTAATTTTGTTAAAAAAAAAATGCGAACAATATAATTAACCAAGTACATAATTAACACGTACATAATTTTGTTTATTACCAAAGTCTCACAAACGTTTCTGAACGATATGTGCTAGATAGTATGTTTTTACGAAGTATACTGTAATTTATTATATATTTATTAAATTATATTTATTAAACGGTGAAATATCTAGATAAGATATTGAGAAAAAACTTAACATCGACATCAAAAACTCGGCGTGCCCTGAACGTTGAAATGTATACACACACACACACTCACACACACATATATATAGATATATATGTGTATATATATATATATATATACATATATATATATATATATATACACATGTGTATATATATACAGGGTGCACGATTTATCTGAAGACATTGAAATATCTCGAGAACTATGCATTGGATAAAAAAAAGTGGTTAATAAAAGTTGTTAGTCTCGAAGGGGGACATCCAATGATACCAAACTCGACCTCCCACCCCACCCCGTGGGGGTGGGGGTTGGAGGCAACTTTGAAATCTTAAATGGAAACCCCCATTTTTTATTGCAGATACGGATTTTACGCCACAAAATACGTAAATTTTGTTCGAAACTTTTTTTTTGATTCGTGATAGATGGCGCTGTAATCGCAAAAAATTATATTTTCCGCAATTCTCCAGAAATGATCATTGGATTGAGAAATAAAAAATACCTGTTCAATATTTTTAAATCAACAAGTGCCAACAACTCGTGAAAACATGGTAGAACGCATAAGAAACGCTTGCGCTGAAACTCCCGCAGATATGCTTCTATTCTGTGTACAGTCATTTGAAAAAAGGATCAATAAATGTATTGAAGTTGAAGGTAAAAATTTCGAACACTTACTCTAATTAATTGAACAGTGAGAGGCAAGGGGACTCACATTAAAAAAGCACCCCGATCTGTGAGAGGCAAGGGGACTCACATTAAAAAAGCACCCGAAGGGAATATAAAACTGCTACATCCTCGTCGTTGTTCCTGTGTAACGCTAAAAATAGCTTCTCGGAAAAATTCAACGCTATCTATCACGAATGAAAAAAATTGTTTCAATAAAAATTTCAGGTACAATCTAATTCTGCAATGAAAAATGTGGGTCCCCATTTGAGATTTGAACGTTATCACCCATCCTACCCCGAGAGGATGGGGGAGGGGAATAACTTTTATTATGTTCTTTAAAAATATTGAACAGGTATTTTTTATTTCTCAATCCAATGATCATTTCTGGAGAATTGCGGAAAATATAATTTTTTGCGATTACAGCGCCATCTATCACGAATCAAAAAAAAAAGTTTCGGACAAAATTTACGTATTTTGTGGCGTAGAATCCGTATCTGCAATAAAAAATGGAGGTTTCCATTTAAGATTTCAAAGTTGCCCCCAACCCCCACCCCCAGGGGGTGGGATGGGAGGTCGAGTTTGGTATCATTGGATGTCCCCCTTCGAGACTAACAACTTTCATTAACCACTTTTTTTTATCCAATGCATAGTTCTCGAGATATTTCAATGTCTTCAGATAAATCGTGCACCCTGTATACATTGGTTAATTATATCGTATAATTATATTATATAACGAGTGGATGACTATGATGATTGGTGATGTGAGATGCAGATGCATACCATACATCCCAAGATTTAAAGTCATTGATATTCTTTTTAATATTTTTTAGTTTGGTACTTCTTTTCATATGTACTCGGCGTTTTTTTTTCTTTTGTAAAGACTTTTTGTTATGATTTCACTGCTTTTTGTGTAAATTATTGGGTGTACAAATTAGTTCGGTCCGTTTTCAAATGATGGCTCCGGCTGTTATGAATGGTTCATAGTGACTGCCGATTTTGGCGGTTTCAGAGAGGTTAGACATCTGCTAATAATATTCAGTTTATATCGCTTTGAGTTTCATACAAAAACCATGCTTTTTACCGTGTTTAAAATGTCGAATTTTGTGTTAACCAAGCTGCGTTTGCGGGAGGTTTTAATTTTCTGCTTTAATTGGAAGAAAAGTGCAGCTGAAGCCCATCGAATGCTTGTTGAAGTTTATGGTGACGCTGCTCCAACTGATAAATCATGTAGGGAATGATTTCGACGTTTCAAGGATGGAGATTTCAACGTCGAAGACAAGCCTCGCTCTGGACAGCCAAAAAAATTCGAGGACAAAGAATTAGAGGCATTATTCGAAGAAGATCAGAGTCAAACGCAAGAGGAGCTTGCAGAATTATTGGGAATGATTCAACAAGCCGTTTCCGTACGATTGAGAGACATGGGAATTATTCAAAAACAAGGAAATTGGGTGCCTTATGAACTGAAACCGAGAGACGTTGAAAGGCGTTCTTCATGACAACGCTCGGCCTCATGTCGCAAAAGTCGTAAAAAAATATTTGGAAACGCTCAAATGGGATGTTTTACCACACCCGCCGTATTCTCCGGACATTGCTCCTTCTGATTACTGGTTGTTCCGAAGGATGCAGCACGATTTGGCAGGTCACCGGTTCACTTCTTTCGCAGATATCGAAAATTGGCTCCAAACTTGGATCGCCTCAAAAGACGAGTCATTTTCTCGAGATGGAATTCGAAAATTGCCTGAGAAATAGGAGAAAATAGTAGCCAGCGATGAAAAATACTCTAATTGATCTGTTCATTCATTTTGTTTTGAAATAAATACATCTTTTAACACAAAAAACGGACCGAACTAATTTGTACTCCCAATATTTATGTACAAATCTTATTATATTACTCTTTTTCAGCAAAGAAAATGTATGCATTTTTGGAATTTCGAGTTTCCAACTATATTTTTTTATTTTGGAATTATTAATTAAAATCCATTCTGTGCACTTGAAACGTATAACGTTTGTATAGTGTCCATCAGTTATGCTTTCACCATTGTGGAAAATTGCACTAATGATTTTATACATATCCGTGCCTAAATTATATTTATCTATATAATCTATTTATCTATATAATTATATTATCTAAAATGAAAATAATCGGTTCCGCGAAAGAAAACTTGACTGAAAGAAATGCGATTTGATTCTAGATTAATCAGTCCTTGAAGGAACTTTCTTCCGCATATAATGAGCAATAAAGAATAGAATGACGCTTACATAAGTAATGCGTAAGCGTCTAAAGCGAACGCAGAAATGATAAAATGTGTATTTTATTTCAACCTGTATGTTACAAACACAACTGATAACAAACCCAAAATACTTATGTCCGTGCATATACGTATAATTTGAAGTTGATATCGCGTAGCAATGCAAACCCGGTTTGATGGATAAACTCGCTTTGCTTCTGTGCGTACATAAGCGTGAGATCTGAAATCTGAAATTCTTAGCGAGAAAAAAAGGACCTTTTTGCAGGTGAGATTTTGAGATCTCCGTATTTCCTACACCAATCTTGATCGGACTTGTTGCAAATTACGTGCGAGATAGACATTATATAAGAAAAATGTCATCAGATTTTTTATTATAATTTCCATGCTTGAGATATTTGACTCGGAAGACCAATCGATCCTGAAATTCCGGAAAAGCTACCACGGTCGCTTCTGTCTCATATGTATTCTGTCTCGGCGTCGCGCCGCGATTGCAGCGCTTGGTAGGATATCTTTGATTTTACGTAATACATAATATATGAACAAATGTTTTATTCAATTGCTTCATGTTGCAATATTTAATATTCATATATCAGTGATATGCTTATATCTTTTAGACATTTGTTTTTAAAGTTATTCTTACTCCTATCATTATAATTTTGCATATGTTAACAATCCTTTGAGCAAAATTTAATGAGCATTGAGAACTATACGTTTACCAATACATAATAATATAATGGATACCAAAATTACATTATTGGCGAATGTAGAAATCGAATGTAGGAATCGTATTATATACGCCATGCTACGTTGTCAGATTGCTGCTTATCCTAGGTTTTGCTAGAGATGTGCAAATCAAGAATTTTTACGTCGAATCGAATCGAATCGAATTTCGTTTTTTAAATTCGAATTCGAATCGAATCGAATCTATGAAATTTCATTCGAATTCAAATCGAATCGAATGAAATGAATCGAATCATTAAAAAATTTAACATGATCATTAAACATGCAAATAATGGTGGAAGATTTTAATATGAAAGGGAATATTGATACTGTAATATTATCTTAAAGTAAAATATATATTAAAATATTTAAAGTAATTTATAATTAAGTTATTAATTATAAGTTAATTACAAGTTAAGGATTCAAACATACAGGCCAAGATGGATTGTTTTATAAATGATGCGCGCAAACGTTAATATATTTGATTCGTATTCAAATCGATTCGAAATTTTTGAATTATTCGGATTCGAATCATAGGGATTCAAATTCGAATAGTTCGTACATCTCTAGGTTTCTTTAATCCTAAATTTTGCTTATCCTAGGTTTTATTAACATTTCGCAAAAGAATATGAATTTTGGATATTATTATGAATTGTTTATTTGCTGTAGGAAAATGGTACTGGTTGCAAATATACAATCGATGTACATATTATGTTAATGCCAACATACTCATTTATTGCAACTACATCTACCTATTATAATCATAATTCTTCAGTACGTTATTTCTAAATAAGATAAACGTATAAACTTGAATGGTGTCTTCGTATTCTCAAAGTATTACTAAATCCACAACTTTAAACTTAACTAAAGT